TAAAAAGCTGAAACTTGATACACACCCCCACAGCACCGAAATTTTTTCTAAAGATTTCCTAAAGATTTTTTTGAAATGTTCGGAATATTTAATTGCAATGTTTAGTAAAAATTGTGTAAAGATTTTAATGTACCGATTAAATATAAATGTTTTGTGTGAAACTTTCCTGAACATTTATTCAAGTGGGACATTTAAATCTTTATACAATTTTCGCTAAACATTGCAATTACTTAAATATTCCGAATATTTCAAATAAATCTTTAGGAAATCTTTAGGAAAGTTTCCGTGCTGTGAGGGCATATTTAATTTCACGTGCGGAGATTTCACGTGAAATATTATCACTTATAAGTATTTATATTTAAATAATCATAAATGGAACCCTAGGTAAACGAGTGTAACTCGTACTTGACCAATTTTTCCTATTCTCTCTACATTTAAAATTAGTTAAAAATAACTAATTAGATAGAAAAAAGTCAGTCACTGATTTAAATATTGTAATATTTTACTATATAGTACATTATTACTATAGTAATTAATAGTATAGTAATTAATACTACGATAATTAATACTATAGTAATAATTGGTATAGTAATTTCTACTATATAGTAATCTTCTACATTTAGAAATAACTAGTTATTAGTTAAATTCATTTTTAGGTTCTGTTAAAATAACTAAAATTTCTGGTAACTAATTTAATTAATCAAAAATAGACTAATTTGTAATTATTTTTCAACTGAAAATTAATAACTATAATATAAATTAGTATTAATTAGTATTAATTACTTACTTACTAAAAAATTATTTTTTAACTAATAATTAGTTTTTTTTATTAAATTATTTTTTCGATTTTTTGGAAGACGTAAAAGTAAAAGAAAAAACAATCTTTCACTTTTTAAAAATTTTAGACAACGTTTCGGTCGTCTGGTTCGCCGCACCATCATCAGGTCACTTTAATAAAAAAATATATTCAAATAAATACAACACAAATTTAAAATCAAAATTATAACATTAAACAAAAAATTAAAAAATGTTTAATGTCATAATTTTGATTTTAAATTTATGCGTGTTGTATTTATTTGAATATATTTTTTTATTAAAGTGACTGGGGTAATTATGAACACTTTAAAAAATCAGTTTTTTTATATACGTTTTTATGATAATACTTTTATGTCAGTAAACTAAAAATAAATTATAATTATGAGATTGCATAGGATGCAAAATATACAATCTTAAAAAAAGTAACTTTTATTATTATTAACAAAGATATTTTCATGTTTATTTTCACACTTTTAGTTATGTCAAAAAAAAAAAAAAAAAATTTCCGGTAACTAATTAAATTACAGTCGTAAATTTGACAATTTTTTAAGTTTATTTTCTATTACTTATAAAATTAGTAACTTTTTCTAATAATTGCAGTTGTTTTTATTTACTATTTGCTGAAACAAAACGTAAGCCATAAGATTATATACTTAAATTTAGTTTTTAAAATTAGATTATTTTTAACTAATAATTTAGAATTAGAGAATTTGCAAAACGAGCAATTTTAATTTTTTTTTTCAAATACTCTATGCGCGCATTTTTTTCCATATCGCAATTTTATATTACAAAAACCTTGCTTTCGGTGCTATCGCACGCACTTATCAGACAAATCATTGAAATACGTTTCTTTAGACTTTGTTGCGATCCCAAATGTTATACACTTTTTTTCTACATTGTTAAAATAGATACAAAATATATAATAATTTATACGATCATCTATATACCTGATAAGCATCAAATTCCATTTGAGTATAAACGATGATAGGGAATTTACCGATAAAGTTTACGTGAAAGATTATTATATATATTTAACTAATTTTGTCAATATTTGATAATAAAGAGCGCTGAAGAAACAAAGTATTTTATAGACCAAATTCAAAAGAAAGTATATATAGGTATTAATTACAAGAAATATTTTGTGATTTATAATGATTCCAATAGTTTTATATACAATATATATGTTCGGTATATCTAAATCTCATTCGTGGAAATAGGCTATATTCAAATTAAGCTGATTTAGATTTTAATTACAGTGAAATTGAGCTCTTTAAATATAATTTATGCGCGCGTCGGCAAAGATCAAAGGAATATTATAAAGATCAAAAGACAGGTTTATATAATTGACTAACAATGGATGACGAATTTTTGTAGTTTATCGTTAATTATTATCATCTAGTGATATGTTTTGCATCATGACACATTAACTCATCACGTGTTTATTCATTTTTATATTATTTATATACCTATACACAATATCTATAGTATTAAAATTAAATGGAACTGTTGTCCCTTTTTTCCCCCAACAAGAATATTTTAATTATAGTATATTATTGTCGCTATTTCAGATTTACACTAACAGGCTTTTTATTTCAAAAATTAATACAATTTTTTTGACAGTTTTTTTTATAATTATAGTTTCAAGCCAAATAATATCATAAATTAATATGGAATCTTAGTGCTATACTTATAACGCGCAGTAAAATTTCCCTAATTCAGATTTAAAAATTAGTATATTTAATACTTCTTACTGTTAATCATAGATTTCTTACACAAATTTTCAGTTTTGAATTACAACATTAAATCGCACCTAATTGCAGTTATAAATACGATTGTAAAAGGGATGAATATATACAATATCCCAGAATGATATTGAGGTAAGCTCTGGTATATGCAAATTTTTAATGTGTGTTAGATTATCTTAAAGTCCGATCAGCGACCAATGACCCTTTCTTTAAAATTCATATCCTGTCCACGCACGCTTATCTAGATGTCGGAATCAAAAAGTCGAACACCTCCAGGTGGTAACATGATTAATATATAGAAGAAGAGGAGAAAAAAAATCTTAACTGATTAATAACCTACGCGAGTTGTTTCACAGCTCATTTAACATGAATTAGAAATTGATATAATAATATACATGTTTGGGAAAATATACGTATATATATATACATGTGATAAACACCAAGACGGAGTTATTTCAACACATTGGGGATTACCACCATATACACATATATAAGAAATAATTATTGGAACATATATACTATCATTTAATACACAATCATTAAAGTCACAATGGATTATATCATTTAAAAGTCATACGCGCATTGACATATATATTGATTCAAAACATATTAATTTTCACACATTAACATGAATATTAAGACACGGTTATTAAAGTATAGATATATATAATTGAAATATGTCTATCCCTTTAATTAAATATCCGTATCGTAATACAAATCTAATGACACTACAACTTTGTAGCACTGTTGCTACTAACATTATATACTTCTTGGACGTTAAACGTTAATTAATTAATTTAAAATATAAATAAAAATAAATATAAATACACATGTGCAGAAATTAGAAAAAGATCTTTTTCGAGAAAGAGGAAATTTTTCGTCCCCTTTTTTTTGGGGGGGGGAAAGATGCTTATATGCAAAACTGCATTTGGAGAGTTGATGTGAACACGCGAGAAGACAGGTGAGTTTGTATAAAGGGAGGGTGGATATCTTGAACAATGTATTTATATATATATATATATATATATATATATATATATATATATAGAATCGCACAATATACAATGAGTCACACAATATAGATGCGATTAGAAAGGACGCGCGTGGGTGTTTAACGCCCGGGGATGCTGGATGAACAGCTGATACATACCCCTCGAATATCCTATTCCAAAATGCATTTTTACTATAGTCTCCCTTGCAGAATATTCAAAACCATGTGAAAAGGGATCAAATGTTACCTAAACATCCATTTATAATATTACAACATGTTTGATATTACAGATTGTGTATATTTTTCTAAAATCATAATTATACCTTCCATGAATTCTATTTTGCATTGAATGATGATTTTTATGTACAAATCAAAATTATTATTATTACCAAAACAACAGAAGTAGATACCTTCAGGGAAAGTTGCGAATTCTGTATTTTTCTAGAATCATATAATTAAACCATCAATGGGTTCTTCAATTTTGCATTTGATTGATGATTTAATATATACAATTTCATAATCAAAATTATTACCAAAAAAGGACAGAAAAATACTGTTATCATTGGGAGAAGTTATACATATTTTGCATATTGCTAGAATCGTCATTAAACGCTTCCATGGGTTTTCTTAGTTTGCATTGATATATATGATTGCTGATTTTATAAATTGGAACATTAAATTTGATATACAAACAACAGAAAACAGTATATATCTTTGGGAGAAGTTACAGATTTTGCATATTCCTAGAATCAAAATTAAACTTTCAATGGGTTCTTCTATTTTGCATTAATTGATTGCTGATTTTGTGCACAAATTTCAAAATCAAAATTATTAGCCAAATGACAGATTTATTGATAGATATATTTTCGGGAAAAGTGGAAATTTCGGATTGTGTATTTTCCTACAGAATCGTAATTACACCTTCAATGGGTTCTTCTATTTTGCATTAATTAATTGCTGATATTGTGTACAAATTTAAAAATCAAAATTATTACCCAAGTGACAGAAAACAATATAGATGCATCTTTGGAAGAAGTTACAGATTTTGCATATTCCAGGAATCAGAATTAAACCTTCAATGGGTTCTTCTATTTTGCATCAATTGATAAGCTGATTTTATGCAAAAATTTCAAAATCAAAATTATCTAAACAAAACAATAGATATCTTTGGGAGAAGTTACAGATTTTGCATATTCCTAGAATCAGAATTAAACCTTCAATGGGCTCTTCTGTTTTGCATTAATTAATTTCTGATTTTATGTATATGTAATTTCAAAATTATTACCCAAACGACAGAAAACAATAGATATCATGAAACGGAATTGTAAATTAAGGAAACGATTTAGAGCAAAAAAAGCTGCCATTGCTATAGTCTACAGTGTCAAAGACTAATAAGCATCAATTTTGCTCGCATATCATATCAAATTCCATATAATATATCCACTCACCATTTTCGACGCCCCGTAGTGGACCCGCGGGACTTCCTCCAGTTGAAAGTACCCCTTCGTCTTCGCTTCCACTTGAGCTACCATCGCTGGGACTATAACTCCTCCTGCTGTTACCCTTTGCAATTTTAGGCCCACTTCCTGTACCATTATTATTGTCCTGCATCCTTCCTTGCAATCTCTCATGAACAGTTCTATTTCTCGATTGTAATCTCTGTTGTTGCAATGAACCAACGGAAAAATCTAATGGCTGATCAATTTCCGATGTTGTTTGCTGTTGTTGCTGTTGCCTCTGACCCAATGCAGCAATTTGCAATTGTGATTGACTACCAGCATGAACAGAAGCTACAACTTGTTCCTGATGAGGTGGACTCCACCACTGATGACCACCCTGAATAGATCTCCAACCTTCAATTGTATTATTATTATTTGTTGGACTATTTTGTTTTTGCTTTTGGGATTGTTGATGAAGTTGCTGTTGTGGGGACTGTTGTTGTTGTTGAGCCATAGCTTCCAATAGATTATTATTCTCTAAAAGATGCATACTGGGAGTTTGTGTCATTGATGCTGGTAGAACAAAAGGGGAGGTACCAACCGTCGGCGGGCTGGATTCTTGATGATGACGATGGGCGGCGGAATGATGATGATGTTGAGGGAGGTGTTGTTGTGAACTCGATGGCACAATAACCGGTGGCGGAATTTGCCGGACGGTACGCGCGGCTTCCGCAACCCACCGGCGTACCGCCTCACTATCGAGACCCGCCAGGCCTGCGGATTTTGTTTTCGATTGCACCCCTTGGATAGCTGATAACCCTTTCTCGGGTATCAAGCCGGGCAGCGCGAGGACCCCGGTGCCCGCCACCGCGACCCTGGGTCCTGAAACGCCCCCAAAAGCTGTCAACGCCGCGAGATCCAACGTGCTCGCTATGCTCAACAATATTATTCCTTAGGGAGATTCCTTAGAAAATGATTCCCGGGGTTTTTTTTTGATTCTAAATCCTTATCACTAATACGAAGCCTTATTTGTCATCCAATTGTTTAACTAGATTCTGTTTTTCATTAATCCTCATCAGCCTTCTTTCTCATTCAACTAAATGTCTTCTGTTGATGATTTTTATGATCAGGATAATGGTTTTTCCAAATGAAATTGCAAACTGATTCAATCACTCAGAGACACAATTTCACCAGCACGGATTAGTCCTTAAAACACTTGTCACCCACAAATATTGTCAAAAATTCACTAATTCATCAGTCCTTAATCCTTTTAAACAGTCATCCACCATAACAAAACCAAACTATCGAACTAATCTAGTTGTCCTAAAACTCATGTTACCAATATCGTCATCTTTTTCAATGAACACAAATGATGATGATAATCCTGAAAAGCACTTGACAGCTAAAACCGCGTGGTTTTGGAATAATAATAATCCATCAGATCACTTAATCCAAGAAAAATTTTTTTTTTCTCCTATACATTAAGAAAGTAATGCTCCAGTAAATGTGTTATCAGTCACTGGAATTATTATCGCCAAATAAATTGTGAAAATTGAGTAGCGCGAAACGCGAAAGAGCGGTTTTAGATGCTGTCGCGTGCATGTGTGCAGCTACACTACAGGGTCTAAGCCGGCGGCGGCACACGGACGCCTCCGTCCGACCGTCCGGCGGCAGTACAAAAGTGGGGGAGTCGTTAGGCCGTAGAGCGGAGGGAAGCGGCAAAAAAAAGGCAAAAAAAAAAAGAAAACAAGAATTGAGAGTAGGTAGTCGCGGCGACCGCCTGGACTGTGTTGAAGTGCTTCTGGTGGGGAGTTGAGGGAAGCATCGGTGGGGGAGCAATGAGACCAATCCGTGCCGCCCGCGACATTGCTGGTCACGCCTTCAGCGACTAGTTTCCTATCGCGAATCACGCGCGCGCCTTTTTCCCTCGTGGACCAAAAAGCAAATGCGAGAAAGAAAGAGAGAGAGTTAACAATTTGCATATCGCGTCCGATAGCAGAGCAGAAGGAGAGAAAGAGAGAGAGAGGAAAAAAAAACTATAACCAGCCAATCAACGTATAGCCATATACTATAGTACACTTCTCCGCCCCGTAACATATATGTTACATTGCGGGGGAGACGTAATTAGCGTGAAATATTGACTTCATTTATTCTTTTTATCTTATATTCAATAAAACCATTTTGTGTATAAGGGTTAATCGATTAAAGAAAAATTGTATGGTGAAAAGTTTTACTAGAATTTTGAATATGGTATAATTGAAAATTTTTGATTTAGTGGAAATTTTAATTAACCTTTGCTATTTCTAGTGAATTTTTTCGCTGTTGCAGGTAAATTCTCTTTTTCGGTGATATTCGATTGAATTAGCTTTCCCAAGGAAGTCAACTATATCCCCTTTAAATGATACGGTCAGTAGGAGGAGAAAAAACCTACCCTTGGTGGTTTATACCAAATCCCCATTATAATGATTTTAGTAATTTTTATATACCATATACCTATAATTGTTACGAAGAAATTTTCCTGAATCGGTATTTTTAATTACAAAAGATCGTTTGATTGCAATAGGAGATATTTATAAAGAACGTACCTCACAGTAGCTTTCAGATATTTAAAATATCTTACGGATTTTATAGGAATATCATTTGGTAAGGGGAAATTATTAGGATCTAGGATGTGGAGTATATGTCATATTCCATATGTCCATAGAAGTCCTATGGAAATTTTGGGGGATATTCTAATTTCCTTGGACCAAATGATATTCTTAGGTCGTCCTCCGTAGGACATTATGAATATTCGAATGCTGTTTTATTGGTATACAGTAAAATTATAATGCAATATGTATCTGAAGACACAAAGATTAGAAGATATAGTGTAAATTGCACTGATTTTGGTTGTAATTATAAATCCATTTTATAGTTTTAATAAAATTGTATCAATAAATGTTTCAGAAGACAAGAAGAAGTAGTTTTCAGATCAGAAGTAGCTTGCTGATTAGAAGTAATTTGCAGATTAGAAGTAGTTTTCAGATTAGAAGTAGTTTGCAGATTTAGCCAAAAATTGTAATCTTCATAACAATAAGTGTTAGAAGCATTAATTTTGCTTGTAATCCATTTTGTAGGTGTAATAAAACTATATCGTTAATGTTTCAGAAGATATAAAGAAGTAGTTTTTAGATTAGAAGTAGCTTGCAGATTAGAAATAGTTTGCAGATATAGTCAAAAATGGGAAAAATCTTTAACAATGAATATTAGAAGCATTATAATTTTGCTTATAAATCATTTTGCAAAGATAACAAAATTGTTTCGTTAATCTTTTCCATTGCAACAATTTCAAAGATTAGAAGAAAATGGATATGACAGCGATGATTTTGTCAAAAATCTTCAACAATGAGTATATATATATATATATATATATTGGAAGCATTGATTTTGCTGATGAGAATGAAGGATGCCACGTGGCGGACACAATGTTTGGCCACAAATACCCTGCAGATTGTGAAGAGATAGCTTGTGTGTGGTTAGTGCACGAGGGGTTGAAGGAGGAATTAGTTAGGAAAGAGTCCACAGGAGGCCTCTTGCATCGAACTGATGCTGCCGCACACACGTGTGAACTTACATATACCGCACTTTAAACCACCCCGAAAGTATAACATCAGGAAGTGTACGCATGGTCATCCGTCGGTATATCACTAATCCTTATGACTCAAAAAATTAAATCTCTATCATAGAAATTGTTTGTTAAATCTATTTTACTAATTGTAAATCCTCCTAAAGATTTTACAATAACAGATGCATATGAATTATATATATATAGAATTCATTGTCTATTGATCCATATATTGGGTATTATTTGGACTTTAGGAATTAATGTCCACATTGGTACTGAAACGTTGCCAATAATTATATATTTGTAATTAATTATTATTAAGTATTTCACTAGATTCCAAAGCACAAATACCAAAATATTTTAATTAGTAGATCCTTTTTAGAGTTCCTCTTCTAATTCCAGTGATTTTAGAATTAACTGATGATAATGATTATTTTACCAAAAGAAAAATACGTAGGATCGCCATGACAGGTGTTGACAATATATATTACCATAGAGCAATACAAGGGTTGCAGGACGATTTGAATTCGACATGCGCAGGAGGTTTATATATATGAAAAGGCGATTTAAAACGTCTCTTATTGGTTGGAAGGGAGGCGCCATAAGCTTTGGTATCGCGAATAACCTAAGTCTCTCTCTCTCTCTCTCTTTCTCCCTTCGTTTTTCTCTGCCTCTTATCGCGCTATCATATTTCCATATAGCAAACAGCTTCCCCAAGTGAAGGAGATTTGAATCCGACATGCGCAGTGAATGAGGGGGGTAAAAAGGTGTTTTAAAGTGGCTCTTATTGGTCATAGTGAGACGCGCAATTTCCCCTCATTTCAAACCCCCCTATTTTCGCGTTCTGCGTGCCTAAACTCGCGGCCTCTACTTCTTCCTCTTCTTCATCTTCTTTCCTCGCGTCCTCACTCTTATATTGCTCTACTACCCTCCCTTATAACAACCCTCCTATTCCCCTCTCTCTTTTCTCTCTCTCTCTTTTCATTCTTGTTGCTTTTCGATCTGCCTCTTCGTCTTTCTTTCTTATTTTCTTTTTTGCCCCCCACCAATAGACACATATATCCCTCACCTACACACTGAACGATGGTGGTGGGGATTAGCCCCTCTTTTGCCCTTTCGCCTCCCCTTAAAGAGGATAGAGAGAATCAGAGAAGGGAGGCTGCTCGTGGGAGAGAAAAACGGGCCGCGTATTGATTTTAATGACGCCCCCACCTTCTACTACTTCTTCCTCTCTTCTTCTTTTCCCATATATATATATATATATATATATATATATATATATATATATATATATATATATATATATATATATATATATATATATATATATACTATACTCTCATAGCGCGAATTCAAGAAAGAGGCGCGAACAATATTCTACGCGCTCTGATTCTTGAACTTGAGGGAAGGGGGACGTTAAGCGCAACTATATACCATTCGTGATGCAGTTTTGGTGCGGGGGAAACGTTTAGGGGAATTGAAATTTTCAATGGAGATGATGACGATTGAAGTGGTTTATTGTTGGGAATATATTGAGTACGATATATATATATATATAGTATATGCGAAATTAATAGAAACCGACAATATTGTATATACTTGTATTAAAAATAGTTGGAAATTAAATTAATTCAGAATTACCTTGACGTTTCGGATTGATATTTAATTAGTTGTGATAAGCAATATTACGATGTATTCCGAGGCATTTCAAAATTTTGTTTTACAATAATGTAAGTAGTTTTTATTTAAATCTAAATAAATTCGCATATAGAAAACAACAAAAAAATTCTATTCGGATAATTCTGAATCAATCCTTTTCATTACTCTATAAGAGTAAATTTTAATCTTTTTGAAATTAGGAAATTTTATTCCTAATCAAACTAAAGGTGAAATTTTAATTCTATTTTAATTTCTTAAAATTATCATTTCGTATCGAATCCCATTTCTAAAGGGATTAGATTGATTCAAAATGAAATTTGAATATTTAAAAGGAGTCGCGGAATCCATCATCATATTTAGCAGAAACCATATAATAAAACTTCACCAAATCCGTTAACTATATCCTCAAAATCCGTGCTCTATTTTTATGGAATTCGTGCGATATACTTTCGCTAAATCTGCGACCTCATTTCACGGAATTTGTGGCTCAATTTTTTGGAATCCGCGACATATTAGTTTCGAGAAATCCGTAACATAATTTCACGGAATCCGTGATTTAATTTCACCAAATCCGTGATATAATTTTTTGGAATTCGCGTGGTATATATTTTTACAAAATCCGTAACCTAGTTTTACTGAATCCGTAATATAGTTTCGAGGAATTAGCAATATAATTAAGCAAAATCCGTGACATATTTTTGTGGAATACGTGATCTACACTGAAAAAAAATTCTGGTTAGGGTATATTTAACATTTTGATTTTGGTTAGGTTAACCAGAATTCTGGTTAACATAACTAGAAAGTAATGTTAAATATAGCCTAACCAGAATTTTTTTTTCAGTGTAGTTTCGCGGAATTCTTTATCTAGTTTCACGACATCTGTTATATGTATAATTTTGCTAAATCCGCGAGACCTAATATTTCGGTATCCTCGACCTGCTAATTTCCCGAAATTTGTGACCTAATTTTACAGAATCCGTGATCTAGTTTCGTGGAAATCGTAAAATAATTTCGCAAAATCCGTGATCAAGTTTCGAGAAAATCGTAAAATAATTTCGCAAATTCCATTTGTGATCTAGTTTCGCGGAATTCGTTATCTATAGTTCCATGAAATTCGTTATCTAATTTCGTAAAATCCGTGACCTAATTTATCGTTATCCAACGACATAGTTTCGCAAAATTTGGGTCATATTTTCACGGAATCCGTGTAGTTTCGTGGAGTTGGTAACATAATTTTTCGGTATCCGCGCAATGTAGTCTTGGGAAATTTGTGACATAATTTCTCGGAATCCTTGATTTAATTTCACCAAATCCGTGAACAATTTTTTTGGAATCCGCGATATAGTTTCGCAAAATTCATGACATATAGTTTCTGGAAATCCGTGATCTAATGTTTTGGAATCTGTGATATATATTTTTACAAAATTCGTGACTTATTAAATTCACTGAATCCGTGAATTAGC